GAAATACTTATTGTGCATCTACTATGCACTAAGCACATTTTGTTTTGTTAGAGAAGAGATAATGGTGGTAGAAAAATGACCAACAGAAAAGAGCAAATATGATAATTGCCCATTGTGATAAGTACTATAAAAGATGTAAAGAAGCAGTCGGGCTGGAGGTTGAGGGCGCTGTTTTAGGTAGGGCAATCAGGGAAAGCCTCTCTAGGGCTTTTTGTTTGTTTGTTTAAGGGTTCTGAATCTCTGATTTATTAAGGACAGCATGGAAATGACAGTTTAGATTATTTTACAAAAAGAGCTCAAGCTGCTCCAAAACAGCAAGTGGGCTTGCTGGGGAGACGCGGGTCGTCCGACGGCCGCAGAGGACACCGAGACGCCTCGCCTACACACGGTCAGCACGAAAGGGCACAGACGAGTTTTGTGTCACACAGAAAACAGAGAAATCCACATACTAAGTAACGTGTCCGCAACGACTAACGAATCCCTAAGGGACAAGCGCGGATTCGCAGGAAGGAAAAGCTTTCCGCAGAGAAACCGCTGTCACGTGACGCTTAGGTGGACCTGCAACGAAGAAAATACGTTTCAGCAGATGGGTTCGGACTTAAACTAAGTCGTCAGTGAAATACTTAATAAAAAGAAGACCTTTCTCTGTATCAAAAGACCTTTTAAAAATATATCATGGAGAGAATAAGTTTCAGTAAAGGTCCACGTCACATTCAAAAACACACATTCGCGTATAAGTAAAACGCAAAAAGTTTGACAACGAAAAGCCTGTTTGGAACCACCTAGCAGAGGCCAAGCTAGGTTCGTGTTCTGCCTCAGGGCATTACGCTGAAATGAATCTCAGTCTTACTATAATTTTTTTTCTTTTTAACCTTAATCACCAGCGGCTGGGCAACTGAAACGAACATGAGAACTATATAAATGTCAGAGAAATATGTAAACCTCATTAATGTTTCCAAAAATTCATTTAGAGATAGAAACAGGTCCAAATAGATGCCTGTCTAAATGTACTGCAATTACGTTACAATTATTTTTCCAAATACACAGATATGCTCTGTCTTTTCTCAGCTCATTACTGACTCAAACAATTTGCCCTTCTGGGATCAATTGTTTGCTAATAAATAATTGTTTACAGTCACAAAATGATGTTAGGAGGTTTTCTTATTAGTTTTCCTTCTGCACCCTAATAAGATTGAAAACTAGCTGATTCCCAAGAGTATAACCTTAACCTTGCTTTGTTTAACAGCCCAGGAAATGATGAACCATCTGTTTCAGAAAATAATGGGCGGCCAAGAGGAAATATTGTTTAATTGTAGATTAACCTCCTCGTGAGGCAGTCTGAAGCAGCTTTATAATGAGCAACTATAACCAGCAGAAGAAACAAATGGTTCAAGGGCCTTTTGCTCTACCATTTAAGGTCCAGAAAGAATGCAAAGAGATTTTTATTACCTATATTTATTTACATTTATTTCCACAGTGGAATCAAAATCAAGGTCAAAACTGGTTCTCAAAAGTGCAGTCACTGCCCTCTGATTTTGTTTGCCCGAATATCTTTAATGCAGCAAACCATCGAGTGCACTTACGAAAGTGTAAACTTAAAATAAAATCAATAAAAACCTCTTTTCCATTATTTTCTGAATGGTTCTTTTATTAAAATTAATATTTTCCCTGGTTTGTTAATAGTAATAAATCCACAATTAAGGAGTACGAATTGTTTTATTATCATCGACATGGCACATACGCAAATGAAATCTTGTCAAGTACATGGTGACCTACAAGTTCAAAAGAAAAAGAACAACATGGGATCAAAATGGCCGGCCAGGACAAGAGACACAAAAGTGAGAGAGTAAATGCAAATACAGCCCTTTATCCACCAGGCTTCTCGTGCTGAGTCTTTTCTAAAGTCAAACCTATAAAACTACATATGATATTTAACACTCTGCCCCTCTCAGGGACCAATTTAGCAAGGGTGCTATACCATTTTAATTCAGAACAGAGGAATCCGGAAAGCATTGTTATTCTGTAAATATTTATTGAGGACTTCCCGCCAGGGCCTAAGTAGAAAGGGACAAGGAACAGGAAAGGACACCTGGGGCAGGTTTTTTTTTTTTTTGGTTTAACAAGTGCCTAAGTATCAGTTTTCCCTGAAGCCTGGTGCA